GCTCGTCGAAAGCAGGCTCCGCTGGTTCAGCCACGTGAAAAGAAGACCAATCGAGTATGTTGGAAACGTGGTCCAAGCACCAATACTTCCGGGAAAGAAAATAAGGGGAATACTAGAGAAAGGGTGGCGCGATGTGGTCAAGAACGATACGAAATTGCGAGAAGTCTCTAAAGATATAACGAACTACAGAAAAATGAGAAGAAGGTGGGCTCGATTAGCAGACCCATGTGAAAGAAGGAAAAATACTAGGGAAAAAGAAGAAGAAGACTACACTACCGCAGTGTCGGCATAAAGTGAAAAACATTTCATTTCTCCACACAATAAGTCTTCGCCGTATAAATCCGTTTTCATTTTTTGTAATGTCAAATTTGCCTTTCACTGACAGATTTAGCGCATTTGATATAACTCACTAAATGATATGCGATACTGTGATTGTCTATCTTCGACTGACGCAGATCAACGAGAAGACGAAGATCGATTAAAACCAAGAAGCCGCCACCCGTTCAGAACAGAGGAGGCGGACAACGCGAGCATTATAGCACGTTAGATTAGGTTCTACGGGAACGATGCAAACATTGAGAACTTATGGTCAGAAATTAGAACATGTCCTCGCTCATGAGGAAAGAGTAGGAGATACTTGATGAGGTCATGAGGTACCGACTGAAAACAGTTGGACTCTCATCAACGCAGCGCAAAGGGTCTAGAATGATGAACTTCTGCAGCTGGAAGCTGCTCTGCTCATTTGCTGACTCAACGTTCCTCGCTGAGGTCGATGTTTGTGTTTTGGTAGAACTCATCCTGGCTGCCAGAATCATTGAATGGAAGCCTCTCAACAAAAAAGGACAATAATCCGACTGAACTAACAATAGGCTAAAGCCTAGACTTTGCACAGGCCTATGAGACTAATAGAGAGGGAGAATATGAGTCGTTTCTTGAGAAAGTGAAAGGTGTTCTGTACGAAAGTCGACTGCAGTCTCTCATTCAAAGAAACTCTCTCATTCAAATGGCGATTGCAATGTGAATGTTGGAACATAGATTGAAAAGTGGAAGGACATGATTGCAAAGAACAGTTCTAGCGACCTCAACAGTAACGGTATGAAGTAGTTTCGGTTTTTGGCACACGATGAACTGCCTGCTATGAACATCTTCGAGCATCGAAACGTGCATAGCATACCTGGCACGGCGAGGCTTGTTCACAAAAGTCGATGATCGCCTTTATGTTCGTATCGTCTGACTTACAACGCTGAGTGAAAACGAATGTTCTTGTTAACGTAGGCGCAAAGCTGTCAACCGACTATCACAGGTAAACGACAGAGTACTATGCGAAGACTAGCGGCAGAAGCAATCAGAGAATCAAATGGGAAAAACCTTCGGCGGATACGAGAGCGAAGCTTGAAGCAACATCGTACAACAGTTTGAACACATCCCGGCGATGACTGGTCATGTGGAAATCGAGTGGAAGCTTTTTAAGAACGGATTACTCGGAGCTGCCGCCGAATGCTGTAGTTAAAAACGGATAGGCCTGCCAGCGGAGGCCAGATGCAGATTTCCTGGTGGACATGAAAGGTTCAACTGCCTGTCAGAGATAAAATGGCTGCGTTTAAGAGGTGGCTTGGAACGAAAGAGCCTTCAACTCGAATTCAGTGCGAAAAATTGCATATGGCAGCGAAGAAGACAGCGACCAAAGCAAAATCTGACTGGAGAAATCTGAGATGCTGCAGTCGGATTTCTACACGTCAAATACGATACTCTAGTAGACTATTCGCTGATTTCGAGATGGTTTGTAACTTACACTTGTCCGTCAAACTGCAATTTCTACAGGGAAGACACCATTCTACAGGAAAACGGGGTGTAGAATCACTGTTCAAGAAAGGGAATTATAGGGACTGCTCCTATTAACATACATACATACATACATACATACATACATACATACATACATACATACATACATACATACATA